GTTCCAAGTGCAGGACTTTGTACTTGTCCTTATTTGATTGCATTTGGTGGATTGCAGACCATTTTTCTAGTCTATCCACTTCATTTTGGATCTTAGCCCTACCCTCCAAAATTGTCAGCAAATTCACCGAACTTGGTGTCATCCACAAATTTGCTAAGTGTACACTCAAACCCATCATTCATAATACTAATGAAAATGTTAAACAATACTAGACTCAGAACAGACTGCTGAGGAACCCCACTTGACATCTAGCCATTAAGGACTACTCACTGGGCGTGTCTACATGAGATGCTGACTGTTCAGTAGCTGAAAAATACTGTGCAGTAACGCGTCACAGCACGGACAGTGCTAATATACTACTGCACAGTATTATTAGGCTACCATGTCACCTAAAAGACATTCACCAGCACTACTGGTTACTGCACATTTATTTAGTATTAGCTAATACAAGTACTAAATAAACGCGCAGTAACGACTGCACAGTAGCGTCTCATGTTTACACACCCACTGAGGACTGTTTTATTATTATTCCTTATTTTATTAATGAGAATGTTGTGGGAGACTGTGTTGAAGGCCTTGCTAAAGTCAAGGTACATCACATCCACAAGGTATATTGTGTCATTTATAGAGCTTGTCACTCTATCAGAGAAGGAAATCAGGTTGGTCAGGCATTACTTGCTCTTTGTCAATCCATGATGATTATTCCTGATATTCTTGTTTTCCTTCAGGTGATTCACAACAGACACGGGCACTTGGTGGCCACCTTAGTTGGGGGGGGCATGCATGTGCCCCCACCAGCAACCAGTCAGCAACCAGGGGTAGTCCCCATGGCCGATCGCGAGATGGCCAATCGCTGCGGGTGATTGCTGCAGCCACTTCCAGAAGTGCAATGGAGCGCAACAGCACTCCATTCCCTGGCCAGCACTTGCAGAGGGGGCACCATGATCCCTGCCTGCCGCCTCTGCTCATTGCCTAAGCAGCAAGTGCAGCTGGTCAGGGGGTGCACCAGCGCTCTCAGGGGGTGCACATGCACCCCTATGTACCCCCTACACATCACCACTGACAACAGATTCCTTGAGGACTTGCTCCATGTTCTTTCCAGCTATGGAGGTCATATTGACTTATCTGTAGTTTCCTAGATCCTCCTTCTTCCCTTTCTTAACGATGAGCATTATATTTGCCCTTTCCCAATCATCCAGGACCTCATCTGACCTCCATGAGTTCTCAAAAAAGATAGCCAATGGCCCTAAATTGCCTCAGGCAATTCTTTCAATGTCTTAGAGTGCATCGCATCTAAACCTGCTCAGCTGAAAAATATCTAGCTTCTCTAAGTAATCCCTAACCTGTTCTTCCACTACTTTAGGCTGTTTGTCTTCTTCCTTATCTTTGCTACCAACTGCACTCATCATACGGTAGCTGACTTTATTTATGAAGACTGAAATAAAAAAGGAATTAAATACTTCAGCCTTCTTTGCATCATTCTTCTGCAAACTAGTGTTTTGACAAGAAAAAAATCTTTCCCCAGGTTTTCTGGGAGAGTTTAGCATGACAGACGTTTTAGTCACTTAGTAAAGGGACTCTTAATTTCCACTGCAATAGTAAGTATTATGACATTAGAGAACTTAAGGAAGAAGGTAAATTAGTCTGGCAGAATTCCATGTTCCCTTGGTTATGCTGTTTCCAATACCCAAAATAGTTTGGGTATCCCTGTACTACAATGCAGTGCAACAGTGTTTAAGCAGTATGATTCCAGGAGACAAAAAACCTCAAGAGAATAGATTAGATGAGTGGGGAATTTACACTTTAGCTGAGGTTTTTGTGAAGAGGAGTTGCCTGCATAGAAAGTGTGACCTGTGTACATTTTATAAACAAAGAAATTACTCTAAAAATCCCGCGAGTTTGTGCCACTAATGCATCTTTCAGTGAGAAGCTGACTCCAAAATCTACTACCTCACAACAAAAATGAGTGACAGTATTTCAGATGTAGAAAACTATTTCTTGATTCAATGACAAAAAGTATTAAGTACTAGTCTTTTACCTGTTGGGACATCAACAAGGTTACAGCTAGAAATGAGACCGATGGCTTTATAAAAGGCCCTGTATGTTTACTGACATATTAAATATTACAGAATTTCACACAATTATCATATTTGGAATAACAGATTCAGGAGGGTGACAAAATATGTATAGCTAGCTTGGAGAGATGCACAATGGGAGAAGTTTGCACAACCTTAGTAGCAACTGTGTGAGACAATACACAACGTAGCTGTACATATTTAGTGCCATGAAATGCTCACTTTTATGATAAATACTAGCCAATTGCCTGCCATGAATGACAAAGTATTTCAGGGAGAGCTTACATGTCCTGCACCACTCACCCTTTGGGGTCGGCTGTGTAAGCCAGAGGCGGGCAATTATTTTGGGCAGAGGGCCACTTACTAAGTTTCGCCCTGGGCTCTCTGTGGGGGGGTGTGGATGTGGGGGTATGCGTGTATGGCATTGCGAGTGGAGTATGGGGGCATGTGTATGGTGGGGTGTGTGGGACTCATGCTACAAAGACACATGCAGCCCCACTCACTCTGCCCCTGCCTGCACACCTATACTCACCCAAGCACTCTGTCCCAGCTGTATACCCACACCCACCCGCTCTGCCCCTGGCTGCACAAACACACCCACCCATGCACTCTGCCTCTTGGTCCACATATACACCCACCCACCCAGCCCCTGCCTGCACAACCACACCCACCCACTCTGCCCTTGGCTACACACCCACACCCACCCACCCAACCTCCCACTCTGCCCCTGGCTATACAACCACACCCACCCACTCACCCAGCCACTCTGCCCCTGCCTGCACACACAACACACATACACTCCCACTCTGCTCCTGGCTGCACACCCCCCCATCCCAAATCTGCCCCTGGCTGCACACCCACACCCACCCAACTCTGCCCCTGGCTGCACATCCACATACCCACTCTGCCCCTGGCCAGACATCTACACCCACCCACTCTCCCCCTGGCTGCGCACCCACACCCACCCAGTCCCACTCTGCCCCTGGCTGCACACCCACACCCACCTACCCAATTCTGCCCCTGGCTGCACATCCACATAACCACCCACCCACTTTGCCCCTGGCTGCACACCCACACCCACCCACCCACTCCGCCCCTGGCTGCACACACAACGCATACACTGACACCCAGAAACCCCCACGACACACACACCCTACCAGGCAGCTCCGTTCTCCCCACTCCTACAATGCAGCCGAGTCACATGGTGCTGAGAGGGCTGGCAGACAGGGAGTGCAATTGTTGGGGTGGGCAGGGCTGGGCTGTTCAGTCCTACTGAGGCTCCCCCTACTGCCCTTGGCTCCTATCAGCTCTGAAAGGAGCCGGGGCAAGTCAATACAGTATTAAAGCCTAAGGGCTCCCTTCACCTCCGGCTCCCTGCCTGAGGGGGCGGGGCTGTGCAGCCAATTGCCACCCGCTTTCTTTGGGGTGCATGCATAGTTGGCCCCCAGTGTTAGGGACAGATAGACACACTGACGGAAATACTAAGACTTTTATTATATTGGATTTTTTTTTAAATGGTGTTATTTTGTTACATATTTATAATATTCGTTACATATTGGGATAATCTAAGACTACTGCTCACTCGATAGGCCAAATTCTTCTCAGTTAAACTGGTATAATTTGACTGATTTTACTGGAGTTACTATAGATTTAACCAGTGTAAAAAACAGATTTTAGTCCAATAAATACAGACTCTATGCTATTATACATACACATACTTCTTTACCTTGTGGCAAGTATGTTATTAGTTTTATTGCTAATAAGAAGAGACCTAAATAGTGTGGTAACAGTTCATGCATTTTGGCCCACAGATCTCAGACAATGCACTTCTATATCCAGTTCTGGAACTCTGGAGAGGCCCCATTGGCAATCTGTGCTGAATTGTATGGTGGCTTTATAATTAAAGCCAGATTTGAACTCCAGTATTGAGAGGCCAAGTGTTAATGTATTAACCCAATTCACTAACATTGCCCCCAATAAAATGTGCTTAAATAGTTCTCAGGTTCTTTGTTTAGACTGCATGGAGAGTTAAATGTTCCAACTCCAAAATACTATGTATAAGGGGAATAAATTATTAAATGAGACTGATAAGGTAAATAACATTGTTTAAATTAACACAACAAAGAAAGGTCAACGTATTTTTATTTGGAAAGCTTAGGTTACAGTGGAAAATATTTCATGTGCCACTTAGCAGAAGCTGTGTGTGACTTTATGCAGATTATTTTAGCCAAAGAGGATATTGTTGAGCTTTGTACTCGACTGAAGTTTGTGAATAAATGTTTAGTGCCCCTCAAAAATAATTTCACTAGAGGAGGGACTGGCAGCCTAAGAAGTGCCCCTTATTGCCTAGCTAAATTTGTACCAGATGCAGAGAATCTCTGGTTTAAGGAAGAATGCTTGGAACTACCCCAAATTAGGAAGTACAAATTTAGGCTAGAACTTAATATAAAGAGTTCCATCATGAAAGACCAATGCAAAAAGCAGGAAAAAGACCATGAAATCAATGAGAATTAACCACATTCATGATTTCATTATTTCTTTATGCATTCCTTAAATTTATCAAACTGTCCTTCTCTTTCAAATCACTGATTTAAAAATTATTTTCTCCCTCTTTCAGGTCCTTCAAGTCCTCACAGAAACCTTTACTATTTTACCATTTTTGAGATCCAAACATTGTGTTTACTTTTCTTATCAGGATTTGTTCACTCATTTATGCAGTATTTTGATTAACTCCAGATAAGCTACAGTATTTTAGATATTGTGCATCACCCAGCCACTGTTGGAAAAGCCTCAGAAGTCTGAATTGTACGTGTTTTAAAATCATGAAGAGCAATATGGTTCTTATTCTTATGTCAAATTTTTATCCTTTAAGAAATCAAAATTGAAAATATTGTAAAAAGAAAAAATGTTTTCATTTTCACTAACCTGAAAACTCCTGAATTTGAGAATCTTCCACTTCAAACAACAACTCATCATGAATTTGGGCAATTAACCTGAAAAGAAATGCAATGTTACAGAGCTTTGAGATGTCTTTGGCATTATGCTCCTAACTGTGATAGCACAAAAGACTTCAATTCAGGTCACTGTGCAAGCTTTGCCATGATAAAAATGCATATATGAAAATGAATTAAATCACCCCTAGAAAATAAAGACATACTTTATTTCAAAAGAATGGTGTCTTTTGCATTTTTTAACATGTGGACCAAGTCTTCCATAAAAACTTTTACTGACATAGCTATATCAGTTAGGGTTGTAATAGCAATATTTATGACCAACTTAGTTGTGCTGGCACAAGCCCTAGTACACACACACTGCAGCCTTGTATCTTATTTCATTCAAGTTGGAGGAATAGGGTATTGTAGCAGAAGCACTGTTACACTGATATAAAGTGTGCAGCATTAGGACCACCATCACAGAGTGTACGAATGGAAGGGACCTTGAAAAGTCATCTATCCAGACTATTCTCCTGCTCCAGAACAGAATCAGTTCTGCTTAGGCAATTTCTAACCAGTTTGTCTAACCTCCTCTTAGAAACTTCCAGCAATGGAAATTCTTGACACCAGAGGTGGCCGAACTGCAGCACACATTCCACAAGTGGCATAGGCAGCAGTTAAGTGGCACAAGACAGATTGGGGAAGGGATAAAGCAGGGCAATGGCAGATAGGGCAGGAAGCAAAAATGAGAGAAGCAGGCTGGGTAGTAAGCACAGAGCAGGAAACAGAATGAGCAGCAAACCAGGCAGGGAACAGAAAGGGCAAAGAATAGAAAGCAGAGCAGCAGATCGGATACAAGGAGGGGATTGGAGTGCATGCTGGGAGGGTGTAGGACTAATTTTTGGCATGCCTACCAAAAATATTGGCACTCACTGCCTTAAATAACCTATTCCAGTGCTCAACTATCCTTACATTTAGCAAATATTTCTGATAACTAACCTAAGTCTTCCATTTCAGAATTTAAGCCTATAACCTTTTGTCCAGTCCCCAATGGACGAGGAAAACAATTTATAAAATGTTACTCTTCACAACAGTCTTTACATATTTGAAAACGTCTTTTCTCTAAACTAAACAGCTTTTCCTCATAATTTTTATTTTCTAGACACTAGATTGTTTTGGGAGAGACCTGTGGATTCTTTTCAATTAGTCCACATACATCTTGAAGCATTGTGTCCAAAAGTGAACAAAAAACCCCAGCTGAACACTTACCAATGTAAGGATTACTTCAACTATCTTACATGTGATACTTGTTTACATCTCTCATACCATTTTTTTTCACAACTATGGAACACTGTTGACTCGTGTTCAGTTCGTAATCTGTGGTCATCCCTAACACATTCTCTGCAAAACTACTGTCTAGCCAGTTTTTCTCCAATTTGTATTTATAGATTTGATTTTTCCTACAGAAAGTCTTGTACTTTGCATTTGTCTCTGTTGAATTGCTTCTCACTTATTTGAAGCAACTTCTCAAGGTCATTTGGAATTTTAATCTTGTCCTTCCAAGAGCTTGCAAACCCTCCCCACTTGTCATTGCCTGCAAATTTAATGTATACTCCATCACATCGTGAAAGTCATTGAATATTGACTAGTACCAGACCCAGGACAGATCTCCCTAGAACCCCACTTAATGCTGCCTTTCAGGTTTAAAGTGAGTCACTGACATGTCTTTGCACATGGTTACCCATCCAGTTGCACACCCATCTCACTAGTTCCATCTGGACATATTTACCTAATCTGCATATGAAAACAGCATGTTGGACAGCGTCAGAAGACTTACTAAAGTTCATATATTTTACATCTATTTTAAAATATATCCAAAAGGCCTGTTAACCTGGCATAGAAGGAAACTAAGTTGGTTTGACATGATTTGTTCTCAGCAAATCCATGTTTGCTGTTACTTATGACCTTGTGATGTTTTAGGTGCTTACAAACTGGTTGTTTCTATATTTATTTTAACATCTTTCTGGGACTGGTCATTAGGCTGGCTAGTCTATAATTCTTGAGGTCTCACTTTTTAAAGATAGACTCTATTTCAGCCACTAGTAGGGTCCGTTGACTTATAGGGTCTTGAGCCTATTAAATTAGGCTCCCAAGGAGAGCTAACCTTCTCCTCTGCTTCCATTTTCCCTTAAATAAATTCTTATAATTTCATGTGTACTTACTTACTTAACCCTTCTTCCATCTCTCTCTAATCCCATGTTAACACCTTCTTTACTGTCATAAAACCTAACACCCACATACCCCAAAGATCTCTTTCCTAATAAAGTCAATAGGTGTAAGGTCTACAGAAGACTATTCAACACAGGAGTGAAAGAAGTTACATTTTATATATTACAGGCATCATAACAATCACTATCACTTGGTAGAGAGAAGCAGTCAGCCATATTAGACTGAAGTCAGGCAGAAAGCAGGACAGGGTGGCACTTAAGAACAGTGATCCTTAAATGTTGTTAGACTCAAAGCACTCCTCAAAAAGTGCCAGAAATAATAAAGCAATTCTTCTGTTACAAAAAAACTCAGGAAAACAACAACATGTTCTATGAATCCTAAGGATTTATATTTGAAAATCTCTGAATATCTTGCCCTAGAGCAGCCCTCCCTTCCCTTCTATGGTGCTGATCTGAGGGCAGTGTGGCCAGGCTCCAGCAGGATGCACTGATTAGGAAGGGGTTTCCCTCCCCTCCTGACCGGCCCAGCAGACTGTTGATAACAGTGTTTATCACCCCTAACTCAGTGTTTATCAGCCCGTTAAGAAAATAACAGAGGGACATGACCAGCTACCTGTTGATTCTGTCTTTGTCCCATATGCCACAGCACAGACCATAGCCAGCATGTAGTCTGCTGACTAATGCTGAGAGGTGTCTATGTAAGACACTCAGGGGTCTGGGACAGATATTGCATAAACCGGTTTGACCCAAATCAGTTAAGTCTGATACTACATTCAACCAGATTTATCTCAAACCAGTTTCAGCCATTTTCAAACTACTTTATGTGCACTGAACATCTGTTCTGTTACAGGTTTAAACTAGTTTCTGATCACTTAAACCAGTTTGTGTGCAACATCTGTCCCTAGCCTTAGAGATTACCTGGCTCAAAGAAACATAAGCTTACTTTATCAGATGCTATGAAGTAGCTGACACATGCTATGCTATGAAGTATCTGATAAAGTAGGCTGTCGCCTACGAAAGCTTCTACCTCTTAAGTGCCATATTGCCCTGCCTTCTGCCAGCTGGTAGCGACTGACTGCTAAAGGCAGTCTACCATGTTATTCATTGCTATGACTACAACATAATGATGACATATCTGAGCGGGATGTAAACTAGACAGTTCAGACTACAGGTAAGGTTGGCTACAGAAGCAGAGAGCTCAGTGCAGGCTGCAAAAGCTACTTAAAAGATTGGGTAAATACTCAAGACTACTTGAGAAACTGGGTAAATATTCAGCTAAGCTCTGTGCTGCTGCAGCTACGCTGCTTCTGGGATCCAAGCTGACTAGCTTAAGCTAGTTTGGGGAGATCTACAATACAATCAGACCCTGAGACTCCTGCAATTACTTAGGAAACATACCTGCCTCAACAGTTACCTTGTTCTGACCTCCATTCCTCCCATTTGTCTATTTAATTGTTGTGTAGAGCTTAAATCCTAGACTGTGAACTCTTCAGCATAGGGATTGGTTTTTGTTATTCATTTATTCAGAGTTTGGCAGCGAGAACCTAATCCTCGTTTAGGGTGCATTCACACAACCACGGCAGCAATAATTAATACAACAAATTCTACTGAAGCATTTCCAAAGCAGAAAGGATTGAATCTGGCATATGTATTCTTTGAGTCAAACTCCCACGCACATGCCAAAAGTAGCAGCTAAACTAATGTTCAGTTAGATCATATTGCAATCCTATCAAATTTACTCTAGCTCTTGGAGTTATTACATTTCTTTAAAAAAAGCCAAATGTCACCTTTATTCTCCATTTCGGAGCGATTCACATATTACGTGTAAAATTCTATACCCACTTAGTTTTATTAAGAACTAATACGTTTTCAAGTAAGTTATTTCTTCAGAAATGACTGAAACATCAAAATGGCTACTACTTTTAACAGCTTTAGGGAAAATATCCTAAAATAGTTTCACACTGCTTTAAAATTACAATGTGACATTTACTAACAGTGTGGTGAGATCTAATAATAGATCTTAAATTATTAGTCACATCACAATCAGAAGTAGAGTGAAACAGATTAACATATTTCTTACAGAAAACTGGGACACAGGATACAGAAAAAAATGGAGGAAAAAAGAGTGATCATCTGTATCAAGAGAACGCAGCTAGATGAAAAGTTATAATTTACAATATAAATAAATTAATCATAGTATTAGCTGCCTCTCCACTATTTAGATGAAATATTAAAAGACACAAATCTTTACTTATAAAACTTCTGGTTCCATTGTAATTCAATACAGTAAATGAAAGTTATTAACCATGATAAATATGTTGAAAACAACACAATATACTGGTTATAATTTGTATTTATGGTAGGTAGCATCAAGATGTCCCCAGGCATCCTGCTGCCCCAGAGCTTGAATATACATAGTGGGATTCAGTCCCTTCACACAGAAGCTAAATAAAAAAAACAGAACAAAATGGTATTATCCCCTTTTTACCAATGGGGACCAGGTGTGCACAAAGAGGTGGCTGGGATTTCCAAAGATGTTCAGCATTAGCCCAACTTCTCCTACTGAAGTGAATGGCAAAACTGAATTCAGTCAAATCAGACCAAGTTCGGCATGGGCACATTTTGGCAGGCAAAGGGTGAGTGCCCTAGAGGCAAGTTCTTGTGAGTTATGGTAGGGTATGAACGTAAAATGTGTCAGCTACTCTGGAGTAACCTCCCTGCGTGCGCACACTTCCCTCACAATAAATGTCAGGTAGTTTGCCTCTCAAAGAAAACTAGGTAAGTTCCCTCACATTTATTGTGTGAGAAAAGCTTTATTTATTGTGATGACCA